GAACATGGTCTTTGAGCCTGACCTTAGGACCACTGGGTTTATCCTACACCAGCTAAAGAGGTGTAAGTGCCTCCAATTATAACGTCATTTATGCTCTAATTCCACACAGACAACATAAGCTACACATACATTAAAATTCCACAGTGTCCCTTCCCAGCACCATATTATGCTTATGTGACATTCAGATACCTTTTTCTGAGTGTAAATAAACGTTAACTATTGAGATCATAGCAAGCTCTAACATATCAACTACACTCCCCACTGCCCCACGCCACCTCCTCCTACACACAGGCTCACACTCAGATAGGTTTGGAGGCGTATAGAAAGCCATTGCAGACACATTATGGAGAGAGAGAGAGAGAGAGCAACCACAATTTCCATAATGACTCTGTGGATTTCACAGCTTTCGTTCATAACTGATTGTTTAAATATTAAAAAAGAATGTGTAAAAAGCTATGTGAAAATGCTATTCTGCCATTTACTAGGGTTATTTTTAATTGTTGTGCTATAGCTATGTGACATGAATTGCACACTGTGTTTTCTATCGACCCGCTCAGAGAAGCTGCCGTTTGTGGCTGTGGGAAGAGAGGCGCCCATCCTGTGACCTTATGATTGGATAGCTCTCAGTATCTAAATGAATCTCTGTGATTCACTGGACGCTTGACACCCACCGGGGCCCACCCACACACGGTATGGCTGCACAAAGAGGCAAATAGTGCTGAAGGCTGCTTGTGAACGCTGTGATATTATTCATTTCTTGGCGCAGACTTATATAGGCCTCTTGTGCAAACAAAGCCATTTGCTCAAAGATAAAAATACATAGCTGCCCATGTGTCTTTAGTCAGTACTTTAGCATTTTTATAAGTGCAAAGAAAGTTTTTTTTTCCCTCTAACACCAAATGTATATAATCTTCGGTTGTTTTCAGCTCCTTAAATTGTATAAAACATGAATTCTATGCTGAAGGGTATTTATTTTAAACTGTGTAAATGTTTGAACCATGCAAGTACGTGAACGCATATGTAGCTATAAAAGCTCAGTTTTCACACACAAGTAAACATTGCACTCTCAGTGTTGCAACAAAAGGTGCAATAGCAGGAATGGTGCATACAAGTCCTCTTGGGACTTTGTATTTACATGATAATTACGGCATCACATGGGTTCAAATAACTTTGGTCGGAACAAGATAATGTAAATTTTCTGCATAAAATTCAACAAGATTTTTTAACTCTACATCTACAAAATGATGAATAAAGAATGTGTTATATAAAGAACGTAATTGTACAACACTGTGGTATTTTGTACATGCAATACTTAAAGAAAATCCCACTTGTTTCCCACTTGTAAATATGGCTTTGTGGTGATGTTCAACTCGTAAATACAACTTGAACACACCATTAGTGTAGTTTAAATGTTTTCTTTTAAGGTCATTTTTTCTCTTAGGTCAACTGTTAAAGGGGTCATATGATGCTGCTAAAAATAACATTATTTTGTGTATTTGGTGTAATGAAATGTGTTTATGCGGTTTAAAGTCGGCGTTATGCAAATCTTCCCACAGAGCGACGTAGGTATGTTGGGGCGTGTTAGAACGAGCCGTTTTAGGTAGGTGTGGCTGACTCCTAACTTTTATAAAGAATATCTCTTTGAATTTGAGACTTTAGTCTTTGCAACTTTACAGATCTTCTTTATGCACCAAGAGCTTGTAACACTCCAAAGAGAAAGGAAAAATTTAAATCGCATCATATGACCCCTTTAAAGTCAGCGAAATTTTGTGGGCAAAAAAAGTCATCAGTTGTCTATTGCCAGTTAGTGTAGCGACATAAGAAGCACAGTTCACACAGAAGTCACTTTCAAACCAAGCCGATTTCTGCTAGTAAACGCTGTGAAATTGTGTGACTAGCTTGAGCCTGTTGTGCAATCTGCGTGAGGATATATTTTGTGTGGATTCCTATTGATATTACTGGATTTTGTCCCTGAAAATTCGCCAAACAACAGTAAATGTGACTGCAACTTTACTCTCTGACCACCAGAAGAGTGTGTGTTGGCAAAGCGCTTTTGTCTGCATTCACGTACTTGCATACTAGCTTAAATGTTCTCTTTAAAAAGTTTTGCTAACGCTGAAGGGTGCATTTTGTGTTAGATTAAATGAGTCCTTTCATATCAAAAATCACTGTGTGTGTAGTCTGAAATTTACCAAATTCTAGATTTATATATAAATAAATATTTTGTCTCTGTGAATGGGCTTTTTATGCTTCTTTCATGTTATTATTATTATTTAATTTCTTCAAACTAGAATTGTAGTTGGCCTATAGGCCCAGATAGACTATTTAATAGGATTTTTCTTTCTTTTTTACATTTTAATCATAGCTGCTGGATATTTTGGTTGTTTGCATTTGATTGAATTTGTTAAATTAATCATAATTATGACAGTGATCAGGAAAGAGGAGAACTTTAACAAATAGGATGGCATTGCTTACATCAAACAAAATGTGCTAACAAAAAAAATTAAATAAAAAACAGGCATTGAAAATGGGCACAATTACATGGAACTTGATCTCAAAATGACCTGCAACTAAATTTAGCTTGACATAACAGAATGCATATTTTCTAGCACCAGAGTGGAACATCATGTTGCCTTGCACTTGTTTCTGTTTTTGTGGTGTTTTTTGTTTTTTTGTTTTTTGATGGTTGAGCATGAGCAAGCCAGTGATTGCACAACGCCAACCAAGGACTGTTTTGAAGAAAATTCAGTCCTTAAGGCTGAAGTGATGATGTGAGAGGAAAGTGAGATCAATAGTGCTTCCCGTCATAGGCTTATGGCTACAAAAGCGGTCAATCACTGCCGATGTCTTGCTGTTTTCTTTTAAACCCAATAATAAATATGCCAAAGTGTTGCAGCACCCCAAGCAAACCTGTGCCTATATAGTGTCTTTGACATCTTGACAAGCTGTTGTATGAATGTGTTAGGTGTATGGCTTAGTGATACGGTCAGGCTGCTTTCAGCAATGTCTGAGTGCTGGAAGCTCATTTTGGATGCCTTCCTTATTTGATACAGCCATTTAAGGACATTAGTGCTCTAAATGAACTGATTAGTTGAATCTAGTTTGTCAGACCAAATTAAAAAAAACATCCACATCCAGTCTCACGGTATCTGTAAAAATGCATAGTTGTCCCTGTCCCAAGGAGACAAGCCAGTATTTTGAAATAATATCTGTTGTCAATACTCTATTAGGGTTGCTCAGATCACATTGTTCCTAATGACATGTTTCCTAATTAATCTATCTAGGCATGTTTCAGTGGAGTGACTCATTGGCCAATTATAGAGAGGATGTTGTTGAAATAGAGAATGTGGGCTGGTCTAGTAATTTCTCTTTGAATTAAATGCTCACAAACTCCCTGAATCCCTTCTCTTTAATTTCCACTCTCATGTAATGGTGTTCATTATGCTGGTGTTTGGGACACAGGCATCACAGATGAAAAGAAAGGAAAAAAAAAAGTATTTTGCAGGATTCTTGGAAACCACGTGTACACAAACTTCCTGAAGCTGTATTATGACATGAAAGATGGACAAAGACAGAAAGCGGAGGAGTGAAGAGGAAAACAACGGAGCTGGAGTTCAAGCGCTTGTACTGTAAGCTCAGAAGTATATTATGTGGATC